ATATGAGAATGTCATTAATAAGCCGACAAGCTGTTTACTCAACGCAGAGCTGTTAACGACGCACTAAGCCTCGTAGAGGCGTCTGGCAGGGAATTGGCGTCGCCGCCGTGCGTGAGTGAGTGTGCGGGATTGACGGTTTAGCCGCACGAGCGCACGCACACGCTCAGTAAGTTGGACTTTAACACCTAAGCAGACAGAAGCTTCCTAATTAAGCTCCAGCGCGACGTGTCAACAAAGACCTCTGGCGCTGGGCTTCTGAATTTTAGCAAATCCAGATCTGCTTTGGACGGATGAATTTGTTATTCACTAGCCTTTATAGGCTTAATAAATGGTAAGCCAAGTGAAGGAGAGTTATGCAGTCACTTTCTAGTCACACATGTATAAGGTCTAGTGTCAAACACGGACCATTTCTCATCTACTAGGACAATCAGGAGAAAATAATAATAATGCTTGAAATTACAGCTGGACTATTTATATACAAACACTAATAAATCAAACTTAGGCATGAACCAATGTGCCCCAGTGTTGTGACCACCAGGGGTCACAACATTGGGGCACCAGCACCACCAGGGGGTCACAACACTGGGGCACCAGCACCACCAGGGGGTCACAACACTGGAGCACCACCACCACCAGGGGTCACAACACTGGAGCACCACCACCACCAGGGGTCACAACACTGGAGCACCACCACCACCACCACCAGGGGTCACAACACTGGGGCACCACCACCACCAGGGGGTCACAACACTGGGGTACCACCACCACCACCAGGGGTCACAACACTGGAGCACCACCACCACCAGGGGTCACAACACTGGAGCACCACCACCACCACCACCAGGGGTCACAACACTGGGGCACCACCACCACCAGGGGGTCACAACACTGGGGTACCACCACCACCAGGGGTCACAACACTGGAGCACCACCACCACCAGGGGTCACAACACTGGAGCACCACCACCACCAGGGGTCACAACACTGGAGCACCACCACCACCAGGGGTCACAACACTGGGGCACCACCACCACCAGGGGTCGCAACACTGGAGCACCACCACCACCAGGGGTCACAACACTGGAGCACCACCACCACAAGGGGTCACAACACTGGGGTACCACCACCACCAGGGGGTCACAACACTGGAGCACCACCACTAGGGGTCACAACACTGGGGCACCACCACCACCACCAGGGGTCACAACACTGGAGCACCACCACCAAAAGGGGGTCACAACACTGGAGCACCATCACTAGGGGTCACAACACTGGGGCACCACCACCACCACCAGGGGGTCACAACACTGGAGCACCACCACTAGGGGTCACAACACTGGGGCACCACCACCACCACCAGGGGTCACAACACTGGAGCACCACCACCAGGGGTCACAACACTGGGGCACCACCACCACCACCAGGGGTCACAACACTAGAGCACCACCACCAGGGGGTCACAACACTAGGGCACCACCACCACCACCAGGGGTCACAACACTGGAGCACCACCACCAGGGGTCACAACACTGGGGCGGCACCACCACCACCACCAGGGGTCGCAACACTGGGGCGGCACCACCACCACCACCAGGGGTCGCAACACTGGAGCACCACCACCAGGGGTCGCAACACTGGAGCACCACCACCAGGGGTCACAACACTGGGGCGGCACCACCACCACGAGGGGTCGCAACACTGGAGCACCACCACCAGGGGTTACAACACTGGGGCGGCACCACCACCACGAGGGGTCGCAACACTGGAGCACCACCACCAGGGGTCACAACACTGGGGCGGCACCACCACCACGAGGGGTCGCAACACTGGAGCACCACCACCAGGGGTTACAACACTGGGGCACCACCACCAGGGGTCACAACACTGGGGCACCATCACCACCAGGGGTCAGAACTCGGGACGCACTGAAGGTCACTAATGTCATCAGAGCCCCCTCCCCCCCCCCACATCAGCTCTGCAACTCTGTCCACATCATCAACTAAATATTAATCAACCATCTCATATACAACTCAGCCAACATCATCAATTCACACAAAAACATTATCAGCTGACCATAACAACCCATCACATCAATCCACCACATCAATCCTCAATGTGGTTCCTTCATGTGAATGAAACCCTTCAATTAACTACATCCTCTGCAACATCAACTACCTCATCAACAGCAATATGATCCAACCAGCACATCACCCAACCAAATCAACCTTAACCACATGAACTTATCACCATCACCCAATCCCATCAACCGTGAAGCGCACCACATCAACCAACATTATAACCCCACATTCTAACCCCCTCCCCCACATGCAGGCAGCCGAGCGGTGTTATAATTACTTAATTACTAATTTTATCGCTGGTTCCCAGTAACTACCTCTCCTGCGCTTGTTAAACACTCCAGGAGTTAGTTATAAATTTAGCCAAAGAAAAATTTGTCTATAATAAAAATATAAAATATATGCATTCGAAATTTACAAGGTTCTATCTCTACGACTTATATACAAATATATTCATTATAATGTATATATATCTGGCCATGACCTTCCTCTTGGTACCGTCCTGCGCATGCGTACAAGCCTCCCATACTGGTTGTCCAGCTGCGCACTCACTCAGTAACGTTACCTCCTTGCGCAGGTTTACTGCGCATGCTGACGTAGTGTACCACTCTGCGGCATACCAAGCCACGGTCACCTCCTCGGGTATACTCATCTACTCAACAACTATATACTATTTACTCAACTACTCATTAGTTGGTATTAACATTGTGACATTCATGATATTTCAATTTCTCATTATATCTATGTGCATGATGTGGTGTATGGTATGTGGTGTATGGTATGTGGTGTATGGTATGTGGCGTATGGTATGTGGTGTTTAGTATGTGGTGTATGGTATGTGGCGTATGGTATGTGGTGTTTAGTATGTGGTGTATGGTATGTGGCGTATGGTACATGTCCCACGCCAGCAACCAACCACATCAACACCTTGATCAACCTCTCAACCCACAAACGAACCTCAGTGACAAACCTCTGTATCATCAAACATAAATGAAACAAAACAATCACCAATCCAACAACATCAATGCCTACATTCATCAATCACATCAACCACACACTCACGAACCACACTAATCCCCGACATAAACCAGCCAGTCGCCTAGTAACAGTGGCAGTTGACGTAGCAGTAAGAGGCGTCGTTATTATTATGTAAATATATGTTTCCCGTTACCGCCACAACGTTCAACGACAGACATCAACTCATCTCTAATATTTTCTAAATTAAGTTAAATGTACAATCATTTTTGACCGACATGAGACACTTAGAACAGCAACTGAGGAGGAGAAAAGACATGGGGACACTCTGAGAGAGTATTGAGCGAGAGGCACGATTGGAGGCAACACGAGGCAGGGAGCGAGGGTGGGAGACTGGGACTCGGGGTGGAGGGAGAGGGAGCAATAGAGGCATGCATGAGGAAGGTGGGTGGATCAGGTCTTGCCTTTGAAGACGCTGGTGGCCCAATTTTCGTCTTCTGGAACCCAGCTGCCACGAAGAATAACTAACTCACACATGCATATGAATGAGCAGAAATATGTAAGCATGTGATCATAAATACATATACACAATGCAGTTATATAACCATAGATACACACACACACACACACACATTATATATATATATGCCCAAGATTACTATCCGAGTGCCGGCGGTGGGGTGGTTCAAATAGCCTCGGCTATCACCTCATTTTGTCCGGTCGTGATGGTCAAGTGGATTAAGGCGTCTTGTACACACAGTTGCGTTGCTTCTGGGAGTATGGGTTCGAGTCACTTCTGGGGTGTGAGTTTTCATATATATATATATATATATATATATATATATATATATATATATATATATATATATATATATATATATATATATATATATATTATATAATCATTGAATATGGCCGCATATTCTGTATTTACTATCTTCTGGTTTAGGGCTTCTATCCCTCTATTATTCTTGCATCAGGGTTTAGTTGAAAGAGGATTTCTACAAAAAGACTTTTGGAGAAATCCTCTTTCAACTAAACCCTGATGCAAGAATAATAGAGGGATAGAAGCCCTAAACCAGTAGATAGTAAATACAGAATATGCGGCCATATTCAATGATTATATATATATATATATATATATATATATATATATATATATATATATATATATATATATATATATATATATATATATATATATATATATATAATATAATCTTAATCCTATCTGAAATTCACGTTTCAATTCTTCCTTCGTGGTTTTTCATCACGTGTTAAGATTCGTCATTTATACTCATATGTATATATAAATATATATACAAAAGATAGTCATACATACATAACACGTCATAAAATACACTTACGTGTGTATGTGTGTGTATGAGCGTATTAATACAAACGCCGTTACTAATTTGACTAATCAGAATCGGACAAACGGCCCAATATCGCAGAAAATGACTGGAATATCAAGCTAAAACTCGTAGGAAATTGGCAAGAAAAGTGATATTGAACTCCCATTCGAGGAATCATAAATTGAGCGCCAGTTGGGATCTGGCCTAGGCTGCCGGATGGCCCAGGATCAATACACAAAATGACAGTGGTGTTGAAACTTTAAGTATGCGCGTCTACAGTTAGGTTGATCAAGTCGAGCAAAAACACCTCCACCACCTCAGTCAGGACAAGGTATGTGTACACTGCCAAAGTGTTTCACCGTGTACACTCCAAGGTTGTACACATCCCCAATGAGGTTGACATGTTTTATTCTTAGTGTTTTGTTCCCATCTGAGGGTTAAGTTCGAACCCTCATCACGGCCCTTTTGGATTTGTTCATTAGTTCTTTACAGAGTGTTTTGTTTTGCTTGTAAACTCTCTATAGGGATTAATGGTCGGGTCATGCCACCTGTATGTTGTTAAAGATTATCTACCTGGAACAAAGATCCAAGCAGCATGGGCTATGGTGAGCCCGTAGTTCTAGCAAGGGTCATTGGCCTCGTCCCACAGGCTGAGGAAGTTGATGGAAAGTTGTGTTATTAGTTATAATAGGCACATAAATTAGCAGAGTAGTGTTAATTATTGACAAGTAATGGACACAATTATTTTACAGGCAAGAACGGGTGAGCTGAGATTACTGAGCTGAGGTTACTGAGCGAGGTGTGACTGTGCGAGGTGTGACTGTACGAGGTGTGACTGTGCAAGGTGTGACTGTGCAAGGTGTGACTGTGCAAGGTGTGACTGAGCAAGGTGTGACTGAGCCCGGTGTGACTGAGCCCGGTGTGACTGAGCCAGGTGTGACTGAGCGAGGTGTGACTGAGCCAGGTGTGACTGAGCGAGGTGTGACTGAGCCAGGTGTGACTGAGCGAGGTGTTACTGAGCAAGGTGTTACTGAGCAAGGTGTGACTGAGTGAGGTGTGACTGAGCCAGGGGAAGGATATTAAGTGTAGACAACTTATGGTTGTTTGCTTGAAACAGACAGTTTTGATTCCTCACAAACATTAATGGTTTTAATGTGTTGCTTGAAGCAAGTAACACTGTCTAGAGCACGCCAGTGTTGCGGCGACTCTCACTGTGTTTATATTTGTGTCAAAACTCGATTTCAATCCGACTTGATTGATGGATCATTTTGTTAATGAATTATAACTGGTATGTTTTTACTAGTATTTGGATCGATAGGAACGGGATTTAATTAAACTCTTGTTATTTCAAGGTTTCCGATAAATTATGGAGATTAATGGTAGTTAAGGGTCCCAAAGTGCCCACTAATCCTTGGCTTTCACACAAATTACGTTAATTTAGATAATTGTACTGACAATATTCCTACTTCAACACTCAGTAGATAATATTATATAAAAGCAAAATAGTTCATGAATGCCTAATTTGGAAAACAATTTATGTAATATAAAAATTATTATTCCAAATTTTTCATCAATATATTTAAGCCAAATATTTTTTATGCAACGAAATATATCTAAGTTTCTTTAAAATACAAAATAACAGCTTTTTTTTTTGCACAAATTATTTTCCCTCTTATATCTATCCAATATCGTTCATTTTCCCAACCCATTCAGAAGATAATATATTTTTGAACTACACATCAGTATAATCTCATTTTTATACAGCGCCGATTAGAGTTATCCTCCACGTTGGCTTAAGCTTTCTCTCTCTTGTCGTTCTTGCCTCTTATACCTTTCAGGTAATAAAAGAGGATTCCACTATGCTTTATACCAGAGAAAAGAACTCTTCTCTTCACTTTAAACTGGATAAAAGCTGCTTTACATCCGACAATGGAACGTTCCTCTTTCCTATTCTCCCGAAGAGCGAGGTAGTGCCTTTTACCTTCCAGCCTCGAAGGAGAACTAAAGCAGTCTTAACACCTGTGAATATAAACCCAACTCATACGTTATGTAACAACCGGTTTTCTTAAGGAATAAGGTAAGGCAATGTTATTATCACGAGAAAGCACCTTAACGGTATTATTTCTGCACCTGGAAGGGATATAAGGAGAAGGAACTGAGATAAGACGATAAGAACGAAAGAGTAAAGGGAAGTGTGGCTGGCCTCTTGGATTACAGGAAGTAGCACCTGTATATATATATATATATATATATATATATATATATATATATATATATATATATATATATATATATATACGTCCAAACTCATTCATATACTTGTCATAAATATACCATGTATATGTGTAACCTTTGCTTGAAACAGTCCACCGATTCCACGTATGTTATGCTATCTGCTAATATGTTCAATAACATTAGCAACCTAATTTACAAGACAATATTTACCCAGGTTTTTCAAGAAACTAAATTTATACAATGTTCATCCAGTGTTTCATGTGCTATATTGTGTTGACATATTTAAAATCTTATTTATATACTTTTTGTAACAACTCTTGCATCCACTTATATGATTGCATCGCGTCATAATTCCAAGTGTTTCTGTCATTTGTTATATGTTGGCATGATCACGAAATATACTTTTCAGACCTTTGAATACTGCTGCTACCCGTCTCTGTCCCCTACCTCTACTCTTGTACATCTCTCTCTGCTCTTGTACATCTGTCTCTGCTCTTGTACATCTCTCTCTGCTCTTGTACATCTCTCTCTGCTGTTGTACATCTGTCTCTGCTCTTGTACATCTCTCTCTGCTCTTGTACATCTCTCTCTGCTCTTGTACATCTCTCTCTGCTCTTGTACATCTCTCTCTGCTCTTGTACATCTCTCTCTGCTCTTGTACATCTCTCTCTGCTCTTGTACATCTCTCTCTGCTCTTGTACATCTCTCTCTGCTCTTGTACATCTGTCTCTGCTCTTGTACATCTGTCTCTGCTCTTGTACATCTCTCTCTGCTCTTGTACATCTCTCTCTGCTCTTGTACATCTCTCTCTGCTCTTGTACATCTGTCTCTGCTCTTGTACATCTGTCTTTGCTCTTGTACATCTCTCTCTGCTCTTGTACATCTGTCTCTGCTCTTGTACATCTGTCTCTGCTCTTGTACATCTCTCTCTGCTCTTGTACATCTCTCTCTGCTCTTGTACATCTGTCTCTACTCTTGTACATCTCTCTCTGCTCTTGTACATCTCTCTCTGCTCTTGTACATCTCTCTCTACTCTTGTACATCTCTCTCTCTGCTCTTGTACATCTGTCTCTGCTCTTGTACATCTCTCTCTGCTCTTGTACATCTCTCTCTGCTCTTGTACATCTCTCTCTGCTCTTGTACATCTGTCTCTGCTCTTGTACATCTCTCTCTGCTCTTGTACATCTGTCTCTGCTCTTGTACATCTCTCTCTGCTCTTGTACATCTCTCTCTGCTCTTGTACATCTCTCTCTGCTCTTGTACATCTGTCTCTGCTCTTGTACATCTCTCTCTGCTCTTGTACATCTCTCTCTGCTCTTGTACATCTGTCTCTGCTCTTGTACATCTGCCTCGAACTCTCTCTTAATCTATTTTTGTATTTCGAGGGTGTGGCGCTGATATATGCATTTGATCAATTGACAGAATTAGCATAAAATATGCTAGTATTTCCAAGCAATATATATATAATTATTACTGCAATCCTTTAGTTTATATGAGTCTCAAACATATGGAAGTTACAAAATAAATAAATCAAACAGGACAAAGAATGCATAAGAAATATCAACTGCTCTCAGCTACACCTGTGACCTAAACTGTGAGCGACATTTACAAGAGGAAAAAATTCTAATTCATATCTTGAGCTTTAATCGATCTTGCTCAAAAGCGATTAATTTTCAAACAGAACCCAAGGGAATATTGCTTGAAATTTGGTATTGGATCAGGAAGCTGGACAGACTGAGGGCTGTTGGACGGAGAGACAGACTGACAGGTAAGGAGAGTGACAGGCAGGTGGTGGAGCAGGCAGGTAAATGGTGAGGCCTGCAGACGAGCAGACAGGTGAGCAATCTCACGCGCGCAGACAGGCAGCCAGATGCGGGAAAATGCAGAGACACTGTCAGACGGACACACTGTGTCACGGCAGAGTGTTATATGTGTCGGGACTGACACGTGACACTTTAATACATCTTAAATAACACGCAACACAGTTTAGGTTAAATGTCTACCAGCAGGTGAACAAGCGTAGCTGGTGTCAGCAAGGCTGGGTGCTCCTTATTGTCGTGGTGCTCCTTATTGTCGTGGTGCTCCTTATTGTCGTGGTGCTCCTTATTGTCGTGGTGCTCCTTATTGTCGTGGTGCTCCTTATTGTCGTGGTGCTCCTTATTGTCGTGGTGCTCCTTATTGTCGTGGTGCTCCTTATTGTCGTGGTGCTCCTTATTGTCGTGGTGCTCCTTATTGTCGTGGTGCTCCTAATTGTCGTGGTGCTCCTTATTGTCGTGGTGCTCCTTATTGTCGTGGTGCTCCTTATTGTCGTGGTGCTCCTAATTGTCGTGGTGCTCCTTATTGTCCTGGTGCTCCTTATTGTCGTGGTGCTCCTTATTGTCTGGGGTGCTCCTTATTGTCGTGGTGCTCCTTATTGTCTGGGGTGCTACTTATTGTCGTGGTGCTCCTTATGGTCTGGGTGATCCTTATTGTCGTGGTGCTCCTTATTGTCTGGGTGCTCCTTATTGTCTGGGGTGTTCCTTATTGTCTGGGGTGCTCCTTTTTGTCGTGGTGCTCCTTGTCTGGGGTGTTCCTTTTTGTCGTGGTGCTCCTTATTGTCGTGGTGCTCCGTATTGTGGTGCTCCTTATTGTCGTGGTGCTCCTTTTTGTCTGGGGTGCTCCTTATTGTCTGGGGTGCTCCTTATTGTCTGGGGTGCTCCTTATTGTCGTGGTGCTCCTTATTGTCGTGGTGCTCTTATTGTCGTGGTGCTCCTTATTGTCTGGGGTGCTCCTTATTGTCGTGGTGCTCCTTATTGTCGTGGTGCTCCTTATTGTCGTGGTGCTCCTTATTGTCTGGGGTGCTCCTTATTGTCGTGGTGCTCCTTATTGTCGTGCTGATCCTTATTGTCGTGCTGATCCTTATTGTCGTGGTGCTCCTTATTGTCGTGGTGCTCCTTATCGTCGTTGTGCTCCTTATTGTTGGGTGCTCCATATTGTCGTGGTGCTCCTTATTGTCGTGGTGCTCCTTATTGTTGTGGTGCTCCTTATTGTCTGGGGTGCTCCTTATTGTCGTGGTGCTCCTTATTGTCGTGTGCTCCTTATTGTCGTGGTGCTCCTTATTGTCGTGGTGCTCCTTATTGTCGTGGTGCTCCTTTTTGTCGTGGTGCTCCTTATTGTCGTGGTGCTCCTTATTGTCTGGGGTGCTCCTTATTGTCGTGGTGCTCCTTATTGTCGTGGTGCTCCTTATTGTCTGGGGTGCTCCTTATTGTCGTGGTGCTCCTTATTGTCGTGGTGCTCCTTATTGTCTGGGGTGCTCCTTTTTGTCGTGGTGCTCCTTATTGTCTGGGTGCTCCTTATTGTCGTGGTGCTCCTTATTGTCGTGGTGCTCCTTATTGTCTGGGGTGCTCCTTATTGTCTGGGGTGCTCCTTATTGTCTGGGGTGCTCCTTATTGTCTGGGGTGCTCCTTATTGTCGTGGTGCTCCTTATTCTCGTGGTGCTCCACGACATGTTTAGTAGATTAGCCAGTTAGCTACTTGGTGACGAACTTTCGGAGATTAGCGATTATGAACAAACGAACATTTTTATTTTTATTTATATAGATATATATATTATTTTTGTTATTTAACATTATTTCAATATATTAAGAACATGAATTATTGACTTAGCTATACAAGATTTGGCTTTGTTAGGATATAGCAGGAAGGTTAGGTTAAGTTTCTATTCTTTTAATTTTATAGCGACCGGAAAAATTAAGCTGAAATCGAAACTTAAACATTCATAAGAATAGTACATAGCATATTTATGTACAATATTAGACCTAAGAT